TCAGGTGAGTTTTATTCTTGTTTATCTAATGTGCTTTTACCAAAAATAGAGACACAACCTGTTTTCAGTAGTAAAGAAACATCTGGCTGTTGCTTTTTCCAGCCTGTCCTGACCCCTTAGACCAAAAAACAAGACATTAATCCAATCTAATTATGGATGTTTACACGTACACACAACGTACACACAACTGGACACCATTACGTAAACTCACATATGGGACCATGGACATGTCTTGCTTCCCCGGTATAGCTTTAAGGAACATGGTTGATGTTTCATTTTTTGGTTTACTGTCTCAGATCACAGTGTGTATTCAAAGCTGGGAGGACTGCTGATTTCGACTGTATTCAAACTGTGACCATCCTCAAGCCGTCTTTGTTAGCGATTTGTATTGAAAATGACTCAATGTTTACTTCTGACTGGACAGCAAACCACATTATGGTGGCAGCATCTTGCATGATCTGTCCTGCCAAGCCGCTTGTGTCAGTGTCCCTGCGAAAAGGCAAACGAAAATAAACTGCTAATCCAAATGACAAATAGCTGAATGATATTAGAGGGTCATATGGCATGATTTCATCCTCACCTGCTCAATAAGAGCTGTTGTTAACGGGGAGGTGAGTATCCCAAATGTTTCTGCGATGGCTCAGAGCAACACTCAGCACGACGCGAGCCAAGGCTTACTCACAGAGGCCTTACTCCTCCAGCCAGAGGAATGGCTAAACAACTCACTCCTACTTCCAGACCTCCAGATGGACCTCAGCATGTGTGAATGTGTGTGTAGGCCTATGTATCTTTTAGCAGAGCAGCAGGAGTAGTAGTTGTGATAGTGGAAGTCTCGCATTTTAATCCACAGGGAGAAATTCCTCTGTCAATGAGGAGACAGCAAACTATAAAATCAGAGGTCTGCTCACAGTGATATGATTGATAATGATAAAGAAAATATATGCACAGATAAACAGATATTGAAAAATAATACTACTCCCTAAGTTACTATCAGTGTGTGTACTACTGTGAAGCCTTTTTGAACACTTTGTGAGCACTTGTGTGGGTGGAGTGTTTCTGTGTGTCTGCAAACAAGAGCAAAGCCATCCAAACCAAGTGAGAAAAACAGAGAGAAAGTAGATAACCTATGGCTGCTTGGGTGTCTTCCGTGTGTGGTCGGGTTTGTGTAGTTGTTAAAACGCTACAACAACACTGCACGCGCACCAGCACGTTAGCGGTGGGGCTGTTATTCACACTATGAACTGAGACTCCACAGGTGGTTCTGGCTATCTGTCACTGTGACAAACTTTGAGCTTTGGTTATCTATCTGCAACATCACAAAAACACACAGATCCTTCCTGGAGGTTAAATCCTCTGTGAGTGCAACTAGGCCTATACTTTGTGGGTGTAAGCACAGAAGGCATCAAAGCAAAAAAAAGGGGCTGTGTTTGTGCGGTATACTAACTGTGCATCAAAGAAAAATGTTTTCGCTGTAACACTGTTTAAAAAGCTGTTGCCGTGTTTAGCAACTGTGGACAACTGGCCAAACAAAGACAACATGACATCTTGTCAATACTGCAACGGAATTTGCTGGCAGACTATTTTAGCTATCTATAGCATCGCTGGCTTCTTTCTAGACAAATGGTAAGCAAATACACAAAGAGAAATCCATTACAGACAAGACAGTTGTGTTCTTCTCTCCTCTAAAGGACTTACTTGAGTGGAAAAAGTCTAACTTTCTTGCTCTTATCATGCTGTGGATTTGCTCTCTGGGCCACCACCTGAGTGCAACACATTCCCTTCACTATCTGGGGTTTGTTGCAAGTCTATCTAAGATATGTGAGAAATCCCAACTGAAGTAAAAGTGACGCACTCAAAAAAAATGTTTCTACACTGTTATCAGTGTGTAACCCACAAATCACACTGAGCATGCAACACTGATTATAGGTAACAAGTATCTGAAGGTGGATTTTCTGTCTTCAACTATGTCATGAAATGGTCTTCCACAACCCTGAACCCCCCTTAACTCACCTTTACACTGAAAGGCCTCCTTGAGATGGAGCAACACATCCGCGAACCCCCGTACATCATTCACAAGATGCATCACATACTCCGGGTCCACTCCTGGAGCCCCCATCAGGTTGGACGTTAGCCCCATACTGCTCAGAGGATTGGGGTTCTTGCGGTTTATGTCCCAGGTCTTGGTGGATCCAGCAGACAGAGATCCCGTGTGGGTCTTGGGGAGATGTCGTGGCAGACCCTGGGTGTGCTTAGTCCCACCGCCACCACTGCTGCTGCTGCTGCTGCTCTTTCGTAGCATCCCAGCAGCCACTCCAGATGCCACCCTTTGCAGGGGTTACAGCAGGCCAGCTAGCCCCTGAACTTAACACGCTGCCCTGGACCCTGGATGGCTGGAAGACAGAATAGTGTGTGATGATGGTGTGTTTGTGTGTCTTGGTGGATGAGGGTCTCCTTTACACACACTTATTAATCTGCTGTGACTTGGTACAGACCTGTTACACATGCATAGTAACCACTTAAACCAGAGGAGCCAAAGTATATACTCAAAATGCAAAAAATTAAACTAACAAAAATCCATCTTCACCACTCCCACCTACTTGTGTGTCTTTTCTGTGTTTTCTAAAATATAAACTATGTCTGTTACACTAATTTTAGACTTTACAGCCAGCTTAACACTTCTTATGGTTATTTACGGAATTTAAAGTCTAAATGTTTCCTTCTGGAGCAATGGGATTTACCTAACTGAAGTATTTTCACATTACCTGCAATGGCTGTGAAGTTGAGCAACTGCTGTTAACGTTAGCTAGCTTGTTGGTAAAATAACGTTATCTATCAATACATAAACCGGCTGCCACACATTTTCATAAAAGGAGAACACTAATAAAAGTTAACATAATGTGAGTTAAAAGAGCAAAAATGAAGTACAATCTCAACAACGACAGCGCGACCTCAACATTTCTTTTTCCGGACAGTTTACTATGAAAAGTGATGCTGTGTCGACCCGGGTTATAAACTGCTTTGCTGGCACAGCCAAAAAAAACCAAAAACGATACTTAAACTCACCTGCTCTGCAGTTTACTGACATAATGGCCCCGATAACCGAAGAAAACTTGACTTAACGGAACCTTTGAAAACACGAGGGCATTTCCGTTAGAAGAATTAACTCCAACAACGGCGTTAAGTTGTCCGCATTGAGTCACTGTACATCGGAAAGTAGCCTACAATCAGCAACTCTCAAGTCAATCGTAATTTACTAGTCGGGTTGTCACGTGGCGGTGCAGACGCCTTCTGATTGGCCAGACCCTCTCTAGGGAACGAAGCTGTGATGCTTTCAAATGTAGGCGGACGGTTGGGTAACTATTGAACTAGAGGAGTTTTACATTAACTTGCGGAGACAATGTGATGCTTTTTTATTGAATACTTGTTACATTTGTGAGGACACATCTAATAAAGCGTCTCTGTGATTGTAACTTTCTGCCTCGACCAAAACATTATCATATATTCGTATTATAACAACTAAAATGGGATCGTTCGACGGCCTATGAATGCGCGTAAAAACAGTAAACAGTCCCCAGAATAATATATTAATAATAATAATCATCATAATAATAATCACAGCATTTTGACTTTTGCAGTGGCATAATAATGATGAATTACTGGTGAATAAATCAGCAAGTCACCTGTGTAACAACTGTGTGACAAACGTGCCACACCTAAAGACTGTGTTGTAATACAGTGTTGCCCAAATTGCTAAATTATTATGTATTTTTCCACTAAGGTCCTTTTTGTTTATATGGCTGAATTACTTGACACAAACAAAGGGTGCATGCTCAGGATCCCTCATTCCTTAGCTGAACTATTTCTTCGCTGAATTAAGTCTTCCTCAGACATTGATTCATGTTCCAAAGACTCTCTAAGGACCTTTATTGTTGCATGTCTCTTAATTAATATTCATTGAAACACAGAGGACCATCTCTTTAGAGCAACCTTCTTCCATATCTACAATAATAACCTATATTATTGTTACTCTAAAAACATCTGAAAAGGACACTTATTTGCAAAGACTCTTGACACTTGATTGATTTATTTGTAATTTGTTTATGTTTTTTCAGTTTCGTAATACTTCTTAGTCTGGAACTTTGATTCAAGTATGCAATATTCGTTTTTATCCTTTTATTTTTATGTAGGATAGTTGTTATTTAATAGGGGAGGTATCTTCATAAGCCATTTTTGGCTTCTAACCTCTCCTGCACAGTGTTTTAACCTGTTTTTTATGTATTTTTCTATGCATATACGTGCAAATAAATGAAACGAAACTAAACTAGATCCTCTCTCAATTTTGTTAAATCATACTATCATTAGGTAGCAGTAGCATCACTGTATTTTAGACATTAGATAATTTTTATATATTAAAATTAGGCACACTTGTTCTGTTTTGTGCTCAGCAGCAAATAAATAAATAACGACTATTTTGGATCACAGACATATGTCTTGCCAACATATCACCCAACAACAAGAAAAAAATATCCCTAGTAATTAGTTGAGACTGGAATAGAAGAGAACATATTATTATGAAAGGTTACGGAAATGATTAAATGTGTGTTATATGGATTAAAAATACTGCTGGACTAGATTTTAATAGCTACAAAGGTGCCGTTTCCATGTCTAGACAGGAAAATGAATGATTACACAGCCTCATTAGTCGGCTTCATTCACAGTTTTGATCAATGGGTATTGTTCCTGACAAATAGAAGGACCTAAACCAAACTACTGTTACTAATGCTGCCATCTAGTGTACACATGGAACCATAGAACACTTAGCGTGAGTTAAAGACTGTGGCTGAGCAGTGTTGGACATGTTGGATATATTCATACTTCTATACAGAACAAAGCTTTGCATAATTCATATCTTACTAATGGCATTATTTAGACTCATAAAAAGCTTTTTGTGTTTTAATTATTATGGTGAAACTGATGCGAAAAAAAAGCAAAGGACTCCATTTACATGGTTAATCAGTGTTTGTCTTTATTTCAATATACAAAAAGATGGATGTATTCTCATCTAGTTTATATTTCTAAGCATTTCAACTCACAGATAAAGTCACCATTCGTACTGTTTTAGTGAAACAAACCAACATACAGGCACACGCACACCGCACACACACAGTTCACATAAACAGGGAAGGTCACACGGTTCCAACATCCACTCAAGACAATGACAAATGAACAATATGTCGACTGTAAATCAAAAAGAAAAAAGGATTTTGCTTTCACAAGATTCACACATGAAAAGGAAGAAACCCTTTACATTTGTCAAGTAAATATATACACGATAATTGATATTTTTTTCCTTTTTTTTTTTTTTTTTTTCTTGAAGATGAGACCGACTCCATGTTAGTGTTACTAACGAGGTACTGCATGAGGTAACTGGTTTTTCTGTTCAGAAGAGCTGGGTGTAAGACAGCATTTTGGAGGTAACGAACGCTCGCGGCAGATTTTGCCTTCGCAATGCGTTGGTTTTCCTGGCACAATACGTGAAAGCACCTGGGTCACGTTCAGCTCACACACAAAAAAATTCAACCCACAGCATTGTCTTCTATCTGGGTTTTTTTTTTTGTTTGTTTTTTTTTGGGAACACGTGTCCTCATCAGAACATGATCCAGGTGTGATGAGATGTACTTTATTGATCCGCAGAGGAAACCTGCTAAGTCACAGCTGAGTTTAACTACTTAAACTATGATATTCAAGTGACTATTGCTGTATAATAAATATTGCTGGACTCTTGGACCACGCACATGCCACGATTTTACATGAATCCCAATGGGGCTGCATTATCAATCATGTAGTTATAGACACATTGATGATTTCCCAAAACACTGAAAACATTATTCTGTATGGATTGATGTTTCTTTTTTTTTTCTCCCACACATTCTTCACCAAAACTGCACAGGAGCAAGCGTTACAGACCACTGTTAAAATCACCATCTTTCCACAGCACTAATCGAAGCACAACAGATGAGCCTGTGTGTTGTCCAACGTGGTTTAACTATCACCAAACAGAGCCCTGTTCTTCACACGTGGCTTAAGTAAGTCAGGCTAACATGAGGCTAAATAACACGGCTTTACAGTTTTTTTTTGGTTCTTTGAAAGCAGTTTGAAGGTGGATTTGTTGATCCTGGATTTAGTTCTCTCAAAAAACAGTGTGAGCACCTTTTGAAATGAAGGCAAAATGAGTTGAAACCATGATCAGCGATCACACGATCATGGGATTACGGTTACACGAGGTAGGTGTGTTAGAAACCCTACCAGCATGTACTGCTGCGTAAGTCTCATCTTATATGATTTCCTTGTACTTGCTGTACTTGTCCACACTTTGATCACTCTTAAACATTAAGATATTACAAGTAAATGTAGTGAGATTACAAGTGATGCTGGTGCAAACTTTCTGTGTTGTACATTTTATTATGTTTAAGTACAGGTAATCTTCATTAAAAAAAATCCACTTGTGATAATTACACCAACAGATTATAGTAATTTTACGAGAACATGCACATTCTCATCGACCCTCTGTCATTATAAATCTAAGAAAATCATTTCAAACATGTGGGTTTCGTCCCAAAATGTCTTGGATATGATCCAGCTAACTATCAGGAAGCTTATCATAAGGACTTGTTGCTATGACAACACCTTTAAAGAACCAAAAAAAAATCCAGACTTGCTTCAAATTAACACTCTAACCTGGATAATTCAGTCATCCACGTACGAAGAACAGGGCTCGGATCTGAACATCACATCAGCGGGTTAATATTGAGGTAATACTGTTCAAACTGGCATCTCCAGCAAGTGGCCAATCACAGAAGCCGCCAGCACCAAAACCATCAGGGATTTTTTTTTTTTTCATTTGTTTTTCTTTTTTTTGTCTGTATTTCGATGATACACACACTAAGCTTTCTAATGCGAGTGCTACCTACACAGCTTCTGATTCAGAGGAACTGATACCGTTATTCATAGAAATCAGTAACACAACCACCACTCTTGAAAAAAAATCATATATATACTGTATATATATATATATATTTAAAAAGAAAAAAAATCACAGGGCTAGTTGTCAAAACGACCTTTAAATATGTTTTAGTGGAACTGAGGAATCCCTTTCCGTTTCTGTGAAAATGAGAACGATAATGCCCTGATTTTCGTATTTTTAAAAAACAGATCAGTGTTCGGCAACTGTGTGTACAGGTCTATTTACAAGAATCTGCCTCTCTTCTTTTTCCGTTTGTACAGCATTAACACCGTGACGACTGGTCAGGCTCTATTTTTAAAAAAATCTCCACAGACAAAGAGGCCTGACCGACAATAAAATATATCAACTACTAAAACACAATAAAATACATAAACACAACTTGATATACATGTAGAAAAAGCCTGAGGTACTTGTCAGAATATCTGAGGTCAGTCTGGAGGAGTAAGCAGCTGAGGGCTTACCCAGTCAAAAAACACAAAAACAGAATATTAGCCTCACATAATATCATTAGCGTTATATTAACAAAGAATACATGTACATCTACAAATCCTTGAGTATCCTGGAATAGTCACAGCAGCATAACGGACATTCAATGTATGGTATTCATGTTATGGTACAACTATGGCATTGCATTTGAGACAAAGGCAACCATTTGAGCTCTCCTTGCATGATGTACAGTGACTGAGGTATCTGGGGACTGGTGTCCGACTGAGTCTATTGAACAAACACCCATGAAAATTAAAAACAGACATGTTGCTTACTCAAGTATGGCCCTCGCAAGGATAAACCCCAACTATCTGTCCATGGTTCTTACTTTAAAAACACGCTCTATCCATCGCACATCATTTAGTCTTCAAATTCTCTCACATGCATGCGCGCACACACATTCGTTCACTCACACAGACAGTTAAAATCAAGAATGTGTAACATTGCAACTCCAGACAGCATCCGTCAATGCCCCTGGCACTGGCAAAGGAGTAACTCTGAATTTCTACAATTAAAAAACAAAATAAAATCCAGGAATATGTCCATGATAGCTAGCTGGATAGCTTGGCTCTCAAATTAGAGAAAATGTTCCAAAGAAGCCTACTGGATACCTGAGAGGTAGTTCCCCGCGGACAAGACGCTTGTCCCAAATCTTCAAAAAGTCCAAAATGTCCAATACAACTGCCCAGCTCCCGTTTTTTAAGCTCCTCCCTTGCGATAAAACAGCTGTGCTCCGACTTGGTTTGATCTTCTTTTTTTTCTCCTTTCATTCTGAGGCATTCACAGGTTTAAAATAAGGGAGCACACTCGAGTTTTAAAAATCGAGAAGCTTCAACCCCTGAGGAAGATGAATATATTTTGTCTAACAGTCTCAAAATGGTTCCTCCGAGGTGTGCAGCGCGTCGTCCGAGGTTTGGAGCAAAAGGTTCGTTTCATTTGGCCGCAGACGATCATGACCAAGACAGGAAAACGACAAAGATAACAACTCATGAGGTAATAAAAATAGACTAACACAAAAGAAATACATGAGGTAATGACGACATTTAAGATTTGACACATGGGTGTTATCAGATGTGCCCATCGCATAACTTACTACTACTTCAAACTACAGCAGATGGATGTGTTAGTAAGATCCGACTTTTAACACCAAAAACTGAAGAAAAGAAAAACAAAAAAACATACCAGTATTGGGATAAAATAGCAGCTGCATTCAAGTTGCTAGTTGTTGTTGTTGTTGTTGTTTTTTACGTTTTTAAATATTCACGGAGATCTGCTGAGTTTGGATTTCAAAAAATAAAGTCAGGAGCTCAGGGTGAAAGATGGTGTCACCCGTTCAGGTGCTGGACTCTTTGGGAGGTAGGTCCTCGTTGGTGAGAGACGTCACAATGCAGACGGGGCTGTCTGAGGTAGTGCTGCTGATCGTCCTGGAGATCTGGGCGATGCGCTCCTCGACGCAGCCGGCTGACAATCGCGCCTCTGCGTCGTGGTCCCAGCATTCTTCGATGGTCTCGCACATCTGGCTCAAACCCTGCGGCCACAAAGCAGAAGTTTTAGGAGAACAAGCCTATAGCTCTTTTTTCTTACTTTATTAAAAGGGCACTTTAGTTTTGAACCCAAAAATTAAATAAAAAATTCACAGAGCAGAAATCCCTCGCTTTTTCTATGGCCTAAAGGTATAAATATAACAAGAGAAACAAAACTGATTCAGAGAATTATGACCTCAGACGATCGAGCTGTATTCACTGGAAAAAAGGATGCATGACATCCTGGCATTGCTGCAGAAACTGCAGGAGCCATTCTTCCACTGTTACTCACAGGATGTTTGAGCCAGCAGTCCTTGATGGCTGGACGCATCTTCTTGTGCACAACCACATCCTGCAGATCCTCCAGGGAGGGATGCTGGCCTATTTCATCCTCAAACGGCAGCATGTACTCGCAAACTGTACCTGTACGAGGGGCAGCAGGGGCACAGGATGGAAAGCATTACACAGAGATCAGGTTGAGGAAATAGTGCGGCATTTGGATTTTGAAAAACTGAAACTTGCTGCCCAAACTACACCTTTAACCCAGCTCAGATGGCTTTCTCAGGCAAAACAAAAACTAATCCTTTGTTTATTAGGTCAGCCTGAAACACCGTGACCTTTTCACCTGTTGGCGAAGCAGCATTCCTGCACTGTTTGACTCACCGTCTGTCTCTGTGCAGCGGGACACCAGCTCCCACAGCACCAAGCCCATAGCATACATGTCTATCCTCAGGAAGGAGTCTCGTTGGAAGTTGATGGCTCCCTCCAGCACCTCTGGAGCCATGTAGCGCCTCGTACCCACCTGACAGGAAAAAGGATTTAAGTATATACAAGTATGTGCATGAATGATGTTTCTGAGGAGTCATGCTGGCTGCTTTTTTTCTTCATTTTGAAACTTTCTACACAGGCACATTTAAAGGAGCAGTGTGTAGGATTTAGTGGCATTAAACAGTGAGGACTGCAGATTGTAACCAGCTGCAACTTCTCCCATGTGCCGAGCGTGAACTCCTGGTTAAGATTCGTTCAGTGTTTACTGTTCAGGATGTTTTTACCGGGAGCTGGATTACCCACAGAGGTCTGCTCCTTTAGAAAACAAATGGACCAGGTGATTTAAACTGGTAAATACACTTAATAAAGCAGCTTCACGTTAAGAAATCAGTGTTTTTCGGACACTGCTTTTCGCAGAGGGGCTGCTAACTACAGTGGCTCACACAAAAAAAGCAAATGGCCCTATCTAAAGCCCAGTTCAGACCAAAGATTCGTGACGAGACGAGCTGAAACATTCTGCTAATTGCAATGCACCATTCTGTAACGTTCTAAAAACCTGCCGGTTCACACCAATGCAACTAGATGAGATGGTGTATCATCCCTATGCAACAACTCCCTGTGCTTCCATTCTGATGTCCAGCTTTTCAGGCTCATTTTGTGGCTGAATATAATTTGCAGCTTCTTAAAACATGAATGAGAATAGTGATAGCGAGATACTGGCTACAGCTGCATTTATAGTAGTGATGAAATGGTGAAAGATAGAAACAAATAAAACAACAATAAACACATACAGCGAGCAGCAGCGACCCACCGTCCAACACTGGCACACCATGAGGACAGAAACAGAGGGCTTGGCGGGGACAGAGAGCCTGCCGCAGCCGCCATTTTGACTTGACCAGTGGACTTCACCACAAGCCAACTGGCTGTAGATACAGGCAACGTGGCTTATGTTCTAAAACCAGCTGCCGGCAACTTGAGTAGCTGAGTTGCAGGTGACACCATCAGCCGGCCAGTTCACACCGCTGCAAAATTTCTCTGCAACGTTGTAAAACGGTTTTGTCTCATCACGAATGTTTGGTCTGAACTGGGCTTAAAGCTAGTGTTTGGTTTGTCCATTCTAGGCTACTGTAGAAACATGGCAGACCCCAAGAACAAGGACCTGCTCCCTATGTGGATATAAACAGCTCATTCTAATGTAATGAAAACATAACGGTTTTTATTTTTAGGTGACTACAATCTAAAGAAAACATAATTATTATATTCCATTTCTGCCACTATATATTCCTTTAAATCCTACACACTGGACCTTTAATGCACCTGAACATGAGCCTGTTAAAATGGCAAAAAACATTGTTACTATCAGACAACATCCTGCTTCTCTGCTGGGTAAACTGGCTGCACTTTAAAAGCAGCAATCTCCAAACTTATCAAGTTATTCTGCAGCCAGGATAAACACTTTCCAATCTCTTCATGGTGAATTATTAACGCCATCTCTCAATGTCAAACCGTACAATAGGAAACAGCCTCTATATGCTTTACTTTTAACTCCTGCTTACCGTAGAAACACTGACTTTTTAATTAGTCACTTGTAATCAAAGTTGGCTACTGAAGCTTTTTGGACTCAAAATATCAAACTGAAAAAACTCTGCAAATGAAGTGCAAATCTAAAGCACAGTAACTGACTCCATACATGTTAACTATTCAATATTTACTCAGAAAAATTCACATGACAGTATCACTGCATATTTCAGATAAGTCAGGTCTTGCATCAGAGTGCCAACGTGGAAACAAAAACCAGGGTAGCGTTCTGTTTGAATAGTCCGCCTACAGAGAGTTTATGGAGTATTTGTAACATTTGCACAGCTTATTAAAGGAGATTGAACAATTCAACTCTTTGGCTTTATTCTGCAGATGTTTAACAGGTTGTCTACACAGAATACATGACAATTCATGAACATGCCTACATATTTTCAGAGTAATTTCATGGAACTTTAAGTATTCACTCAAGCTTAGCTGCTTAGGTCAAGTGAATAGTTCAAGATCAAGTCAATTATTCTGAGAATATGGAGTTGAATTGTCACATATAATGTAAAGATAATGTCTACAGACAAAGTGAAGCAGTCGAATTGTTGATTCTCACGTAAAGAGCTCTTGAAATGTTACAAATACATTGTCAACTAGGTGTTAAAACTATGAGTGAAGTGGTTCCATACCTGGCCGTGAGTATCTCCTGGAGGTTTTCCTGGTTCGAATCGCACAGCGAGCCCAAAGTCTCCGACGACTGCGGTCAGATCGTCTCGCAGCATCACATTCTTGCTCTTGAAGTCCCTGGGAAATTTCAGGACAACTTCATTAAAACACTGTAATTATAGAGACGTTTAGTCACAGGCATTAATCCGTGGACTTCCGGGGCTACATTACTAAATCAAGCACAACCAGAAGAGGGCAGAACTAAAGGTTTCATCTACAATGAAATGTAGTCTGATCGTCAGTTTCTGTGAGGTTCAGGAACAGAATGCTGGGTTTGTGTTTTCTCTACCTGTGTGCAATGGTGGGTTTGGGCCCCTCTCCCTTGTAGCTGGGAATGTCCTCATGGAGGTAAGCCAAACCGCGGGACATGGTCTCTGCTATGTGACACAGCTCAGTCCAGGTCACAGTGTTACCCTTCAGGTGGTCTGTCAAGGAGCCCTGCGCACACATACAAAACACAAAAGCTTCAGGAACAAGGATTACTAACTGCAGAATCTAATTTTCAACCAACGTCTCAGAAATTCTGCGGTTAGTCAGTGTCCAAGGAGTCAGCCAAATATTTTATTCACCAGCCGAACAGTACAGTCTGGAAAGGCATCTAAATTCACTCAGTATAGCTTAAATTATCATTAAAAATACTGACAAAAATGTAAACATTAAAACCAAACGGATGACACATGCACAGATGGCACTGAGACAATTACTGGAACTAAATATGTTTGTGCCCCTGCCACAGATAGAAGGTGCTACGAGGACAAGCCGTGAAAGTCATTACACAAATGTAAATGCTAAATTTGTGGTTCTGCTTATTATTGTTTAATCCTGTTTTGATGTATTAATACCTTTGTTGAGGAAACCAATGAACGGGATATTCTGGTTGCCTCCAGCTGTTTAATCATACAGTATTATTTCAGGCGCACACTCGTTATTACTGCCATTTTTGACACTAGTAGTATTTAACATAATTGGCTGCATTATTTTTACACCTCATGCTTACAAAAACATACACTGTATAAATCTAAGCAACACAATTCTATCACTTTAAGGTGTACCGGGCGCTGCAGACCTGCCATAAGTAATAAAATCTGCTTTAATAAAAGCTGTGATGCTCTTTTGTTGAGGTAAATAAAAGGCCTCTGCCAATATTGGAAAATGTCCAGCATGAATTTGCTATATGTGAGTCTATATGGGAGCATATACGGGGAGGTGTGCACTCACCCTCTCATGAAACTCTGTGATGAGCCACAGCTCAGTCTCCAGGTTGGTGCCGTGCTTCTCTGCAGCGATGTAACGCAAGAGGTTCTCGTGCCGCATCCCCGGAGTCAGGAATATGTCCCGTTCGTTTTGCCACGACTGCTTGTCCTACACCAACACACACAGACGAGATAGTTATATCAAGATGTTAATGATTAGTACAAGCATTTCTTTTAAAAAAATAATGGGGTCTTTCATTTAATGTCACACAAAGCTTCGACATTATATGAAACTCACAGCGCCAAGCATCCGATCTTCCAAAAACTACACATCCAGTAGTCTTGAATATAATAACCCAGATGTTCATTTAACAGTATGTACGGTTGTCATGATGGCATTTCTAGCAACCTCAAAGACTCCTTTAACCATCTGGATGAAATGATGGGGTGTATTCCTTCCACTGCATCACATTTTAAATATGCGTCCTCTAGTCGCACCTCTTTTTTCAAACAAAGACAGTAGGCAGATGCCAGGAACCACATCCTTTCTTAACTTGTATGTGAAACACATTAAAAATAGCAGGTATACACTAATGTTGCTTTCCAATCTTTTATATTTCAGACAAAATACACAGAAGATTTACAGTCCAAGAGATAAGATTGAACAGGTTGAGGAACTAGGGCTGCCCCCTAATAGTCGACCAAACTTTATTTGACCACACAGGTCATTAGTCTGCAAGATTTTATTGGTTACTTAGTTGTAAAAAAAAACAAACAAACATGAAACTCTATTAGGAGCTGCACCTTGTCAAAATAAATCAAAACCTATGTGACTGGACCATGTAGGGAATTTAATTTGAAATGACAGACACAGGAAGAGGCCACACTTAGCAGTCAGACAGGAGTCATGTTACAAACCAGTCATAGCCGACAGATATCTTTCCCTTCTGTAAATATTCAGTCCAATAAATGTGGAAAAGTTGATCATGTTAGTGCAGGGCTACCCACAGCTTTACGTCTGTCCAGGTAAATAGGCTATATGGCCCTTGTTAAGGTTGCTTAGGAACCAAAAAGACGAAGAGTAGCTCCCAAAGCCCGACCTCGCCTTTCCAGGCGGTTAAAGATGCGGCACGTGTACGACTAGTTAATAACATGTCGGGCAGGAAATCCAAAGTGTGGGATCATTTTGAGAAGGTGAAGGACGAACCCAAGGTGATATGTAAACTCATCTTCATTGGTCAACTACAAACATGACGTATCATGTGAAACATGGAAGTAACTACATGCCCATTAGCCACTTAGCACAATCATTACTGCTTTGCCGTCAGCGTCATTAACAGGCGGCTCGCTCAGTGTGTGACGTGCACTTGTAGATAAAATATAGGCCTATATTAATGAAGGTTCATTAGTACGGTTTTGTATTTCTCTGTAATGTAGCACAGTGTTAACAATGTTACTGATACTATTCTTTCTCACACCTTGAACTCAAACCATTGTGTTGCCCCGCCCAAAATATATTATTTCATAATTAAGTTAATATTGTAAACATGTGGGTGACTACTCGACTAATGGCCCTAAATGATGACTGTTGGTCGACTAGGAAAATTCTTGGTCGGGGGCAGCGTTTGTAGAATGGTTTTGTTGTTGAGATCTAAGACAAATTTCATAAATTATTCGATAAAGAAGTTAAATCAAAATAGCATGTTAACATTTTGCTTGTATTTTACTGCTGCTACCTGGATTATGAGAAAATGGATTTAAATCTTTTGTATGATGCAACAGATGGGATATTTATTCATCCAGATGGTTAAAAGAGTCTTTGAGGACTTTAAGGATCAAAGGTTATTTCTTTTTCAAATCAGATGCTTGGTGCCGTGACTTGAATAATGTTCATACACAAACTGCAGCTACAATGCAGTATCTGTCAAGAAAAATTATAACTGACCCTGTTGACCTACCTGAACAGGGAAGATCTTAACAGCAACATATTCGCTCATCAACTGGGCCTTCCAAACACAACCAAAGCGCCCCCTGGCTTTGATTTCCAGCAGCTGCAGTGGTTTCAGACCCACCAAGGGGGAAGGAGGAGCTGGTCCAGGATCCTAAATAACACAACAGGAGTATATTTTATTCTCTAGGACATGTTCTGCTGCTAAATCGCTTTAAAAGATGTCGGCACTTCTCTTGACCATAGCACAACATCTTACAGGAACGTAACAGAAGAACTGGGTAATTAGGAAAAGCAGCAGCAGCGAAAGCAGCCACAGGCAGTACAGACACAAACATGCAGTGGGAGACTGATCTCTAAGCACCACAGATGTCACAGATTAAACGAGAGCCAGACTAAGGGGTACGGCCTCTCTCACCTCTCTCAGGTCTACATGGCCGTAGGGAGGTTTGCGGTGGCGGTACATCCACAAGGCCAGGACGAGGGCCAGGGACAGCACACAGAGAGGCAGCAGGGAGTACACGAGCACGTTTAGCAGGGACGGCACTCGGGGTGGAGGCCGGATTTTCACTGTCAAGGAGGAACAGAATAATTACAGTGTGTCAGCTTTATGACATGTAGGTTATAAGCAGCGTCACACGGACTTCAAGGCCTGATTTAAAAGGAGACGGGTAGCATTTTATCTAGATTGTTCGGCCTTGATCCTCACTGACTGAGTCACTACGCAGTCTGTAAAAATACAACAATCAGGCTGGTGACAGTGGGTTTAAAATCTACTTTTCTCCTCTCTTAGTCAGTTGAAAATCAATGACAATAAAAGGTTATTATAGCTTTGAAAAGGCTCTTTTAAGAAAACTAAAATGTCAAGAAGCTGAATTTTACAATCCCTTTCACCCACATACTACACATGCATCATTTAGCAGCATTTAAAAGGAGAAATCACAGTCTGTGTGTGATATACATGATGTTTTTTTACTGCTGGATGCAAGGCTAAGCTTCACTCCCACTAATCGGAGGGGAAAAGCAAAGACCTATTTTTTGCCTGTACTATATGTGGGATGCATTTGCCGCTCACCTCGGTTGCCACTGCCAATCATGTCAGGAAGGTGGGTGAATCGTTCATTGCAGTAGTTGCCCTCGCAGCAGCAGAAGAAGACCTGAGGGTTTTCCTCCATGGAGACACACTCTTGCCTGAAAAAAAAAAAAAAAATGAAAAAAAAAGTGGATGACACACCTACATTATTAATTCGATAACCAAATGTCGAAACAAGAAACATCTGAAGCTTTAAGTTTTAATAATTAACACTTGTGCCAAAATATCAACTGATCTGATCTGACTCTTTGTTTCTGCTGTATATAAACACTCAAAGTAATATTTGTCCTATTTATTGCGAGGACTACAAGGCTTTAGCCCACACACTCACATAGGTTAGTGGTACTGATGCCCACGGAGATTAAATTCTACCGGGTACTTTAATGAGAAGAACATTTCTTATTGAGAATATATTGTCTTGTTGGCCTTATTAATGATCAACCAACGCAACGCTTACGGATCTGTTAGGAATTTAACACTTCATACACAAGACTGCAGAGCTGCTCTTTAACTCTAATTAATCTTGTAACAGCTGGCCTCTTATTTTTGCCCATATTGACGATTTGTTCTTTTGTAAGTGCGATTGATTTCCAGGATTCCCCGGTGTTTTCTTATTTCTGCTCTTCTCTTAGATGAAAGAAAATGTTTCAAGTGGTCGAGAGCACTCTTACCAAGATCGAAAAAAAATTAGTGTTTTCACAATGCTAAAACTCGTCTGTCCAACACAAGGAATCACTCATTTTATATTTAAGGAACATGATTTTTACACAGTCTGAATAAATTTTTACTTTAACTACACTTTCAAAAAGGAAATACTGGACTTTTTACTTTTAACTCCATTACAATAATTTAACTTTTTCCCCCTTACAAATTCAGATTTTTGCACACAAACAATATGAAAATATATAAGTGCAGATGAAATGATTATTTCTTGGTTCAAGCTTCTCAAATATGAGGAAAATCATTAAGTAAATTGATTTTTTCCCCTGTTAAAGGGAGTTTTTCCTTGTGCTGTGAGGGTCCAAAGGTCAGAGGGATGGTGTATGCTGTAAAGCCCTCTGAAGCAAATTGTGATTTGTGATATTGGGCTTTATAAATAAAATTGATTGATTGATTTAGAAAATTCTACATTAAGTACTTTTACTTTAAATACTTTCCTGATTGTACTTACATACTTTAATAACATTTTCAACAAAGGACTTTTACAAGTAACAGTTGTTTGTACAGTGTGGTACTTTTATTTGAATAAAGGATCTGAATACTTCCTCCACCACTGCTGCTGCTGGCAGAGTATTTACATCACAAATGTTTTACCATTGCTGGTATTTAATTTTCATGTAACATCAGTACTCACACTCTGGCAAACCACATATTTAAAACCTAAATCCCATCTTTTTAGACTTGCATTTTTGTAGCTTTTATTTAAATAATTGGTATCAAACATGTTTTTTTTCATGCATATGTGCGAGTGTGTGGTTGAATCTTTTTTACTTTATCTTATCCTGTCTTTTATGTGTATTTTCTCCTTTTATTATGTAAAGCACTTTGAGTTGCACTTGCTGTATGAACTGTGCTGTACAAATGAAATTATTTTTATTATTATTGACTTTATTTGAGTTTACTTAACAGTGCGTTGATTTCACTGCTGCTGAATTTCTTCCTCTTACAGCCTTTCAGGCATGTGCCAGAGTATCTGAACACAGCACAACACCTGCCCTTATATAGTTATTTTCTTTCCCCTCTTGACACAAAATAAAGAGATAATATAAGGGACGTTCCAGAGAATGTTGCTGCATGACGCCATTGTCTCTCACCCTGCTCACAACTGCCCACCTCCTCTCCACTTTCCATTTTCCATCTCTACTTTTTGAGCTTTTCACTCAGATTAAACTGATCGGACAGAATTATCCCTCTATAGTTATAATAACAGGCCGCAGCGCTTCAGGTGGAAGCCATTTCCCCTGAAACTGTCAACAAATTTGTACCTGCGTCTAAACCTACAATTTGTGCACATTCTATTCCGGCAAAGCTTTAGAAAATATGTGTTTGGTTTAATGTAGTCCACGCTGATCAACATTAACATGCCACTGTGTCAAAAACTGCAGGTCAACCTCAGAACTATACTTTTAATGATCAGAAAGCAACAGAAAGAATAAAAACGACCTGTTCCACAGTGGCTAATGGTTAATTCGTACTACGTACACAGACAGATGTGTCATCAGGGGCAGATTATTACAGCTCTGTTTTCTCCAGCTTTCCTTCATGAGCCACCAGAGGTCTCCCACTTGTTCAGCCTGCTGCGGCTTGAATATTAAAGACTCAAAAAAGTTTGATCGTGCCACACAGCTCTGCGCAGTCTGCTGATAAAGCTAGTTTAGAATTCTCCCCCTGACTTACAAAATCCTGAGTGGCCCTGTGCCACCATATCTGTCCGCCGTAATCAGGTTGTGGACACTGAGTTGCACTCTGCACCCTCGTCAATGCAGATGCGGACTATCTGGTTACTCCCAGGAAGAGTGAATGTGAGCTCGGCTGGTTGCAGAGCGTTTACCAAACACCAACATGTGGAAATCAATCCCCCCCCCCCCCCCCAAATCTAATAGAGTCTGGTTCTATATCAAGATTGGACATCTGACTTTTCAAATTACTTCAGTCTACATCAACTTGTTCTGCCGACCTGACAATTTGGATCGTGAAATACAAAATATGTAAGTGTAATTGACATTCGATATGCTGTGGAGTGTATTTTATGTGTCTAGGTGCTTGTATGTGTGGATGCAGAGGGCCACATGCTGTCTATCGATTTCTCAACAGCCTTTCTGTAATCCATCAAGTGTTTGAGTCACTTTACAAGTAAAACTGCTCAACATGTGCTCTGATCAGCTTCTTAAATGTGTATATTTTTGGCTTTTCTCTGTTTTATATCACTGTAAATTAAGTATCTGTAGTGTTTGGGTTATTGATTTGACAGAACAAGTGTGGCCCTGGAAAACTGCAATTAATTTCAGGTGCAGTGTGTGAGAAGTATCCTGCAAGTACATCCATATACACTAGCTGTAGTGGTGTCTGTTTGGTTGCCAACTTGTATAATGTATGCTGAGACACACTCAGTTGCCAGTTTATTAGGTACAACCACATAAAACAGTCTAATATAATCCTCCCTTTATTGAGGTTATGATGTTCAATTTTGTTTTGGAGAGGTGTTGATTCAACTGAATGATCATTTTGGAGGCTGCAGTTTGTGCTGTTGAGCTGCTTTGTTTTATACTGACAGGTGTTTCTCTTATTTACTCCACACCATTTACAACAATGAGGGTAGCATAAAGAACAGAAACACCACTCTGTATAGTAAACTGGCAAGTGAGTGTATGTAATGCGTGTTGTGACTTGTATACCCTACTTTTTGTTCTTTTAAGTCGTGTTTAGATGTTTTTAAGGCTGCAACTGATGATTTTATACGCTGATAAATCTCTCGATCCATCATTTACTCTGTTAACTGTCGAGCAGAGAGAGGAAAATCTATTGCATAATGCTCCTAGAGCTTGACATGACATCTTACAAATTGCTGTCTTTGTCCGACCACAAGGCCACAACCCAAAGACGTTGCATTCACAGTGATATAAAAAGCAGAATTAACGAACAGCTGATCCTCACGTCTGAGGCCAGAAACGGCAACTGCTTGCAATTTCTCAGTTGAATTGGCTAATTTACAAATAGTTTCAGTGTTAGATGTTTGATTTCTACGAGTGCAAATGCCACAGGTCAAAGAAATATACAAATGAAGATAAGATTAAAAGAGGAAGGGATTCAGGCTCTCTTGTGTGCCGTGCATCTACTTATTTACCATCAAATATGCATGTATGTGCCTACATGTGGGCACTGAGGTAGATATTTATGTTGTACTCACTGCCAGTCACTCTGGGCACGAGCCAGACACCTAAAATATAAATGTAAATGCACGGCGGCGACGACCTCGCTCAGTGACCCTACCTGTCATAGCAGTTGAAGTCGTCCAGCCAGCACCCTTTCTTCACCAGCTTGATGGTCCCTGAGGAGTTGAGCCAGGAGGCATAACAGTGCAGTCGCTTGTCCTTTTCCCCCTCGCAGCGCTCGAAACCGCTCTGGTTGGTCCTCTCCGTGCGCCAGTTATCATTGTAGTACACACACTCCCGGGTCTCTGCTTCGCCCAGACTGTACCCTGAGATGGACAGAAGGCCTCAGTCAGCTCACATCGTAATGAATTGAAAACCCAACAGCGGAAGCACAGACATATGGCGCAGGATCCGCTCGATGCCACGAAGAAGCATCTCTGAGCAGAGCCTCTATCATCACTCTGGCACACGGCCAAGTTTGGGAGCTCTCTGTAGTAAAAAGGGAGTTCCTCTGGGCTAAGAAATTGTTGCTGAATAGTAGTTCAGCATAATCCCATTCACTACGAGATCTTTTCAGAGAGCAACAACTAGAAAGGAGGAAAAATGACAGGATTTAATTAGCTTCAGAAAAACAATGGTATGCCCTGCTGTGATATAGAAACACACCACACACCGGCATGCTACTTCTATAGATAAGGACTCTTGTATCCTGCCGTAGTGTGACGCATCTGGAAAGATAGATAAGACCTTCTTCTTTAAGGGCTTTTACTGTCATTTAGCAGGAAATACTTCCCCTCTACCCAAGCTGAGATGTAACAATAGCTGTCAGTCTCCTTCTGTTACACAATTCCTAATTGAAAAGGTTTTTATTGTTTCCCCTTTGTGGATTTAACGTCGGACACGCTCGAGGAGCACATGTAGGACATGTTTCTGATGAACACCGGAGCAGATAAGGTGCTGTGCATGTCGTCCACAATGTCGCTTGGACGTTCATGCCTAATCTTTGTTCACAGAAAAAATATTGCATGTCTCTTTAAATCCCTGCCTATAGGAGGCTGCCCATCCCCCCAGTGTTACCCCCACCAAACCCATTACACACACACACACTCTCTCTCACACACACACACACACACACACACACACACACTCACTCACTCACTCTCAGGCACGCATCCACTTACATACATTTAGTTGTCCAGCAGCATACAATGGATTTCATTATAGCATACAAGGGATGCATGCAATGACCAAACATCATGCTCATTATTAAGGAAGGAAGGGAAGGAAGGTAGTAAGGACAAACACACACACATACACACACAGCAGTGATGCTCAATGCTCCATTGAGCAGAGATGGCATTTCTGATATCTGTGGTCACATGATCTGGGAGGACTTTTACTACAAGATCATTCCCCAACCCCCCTCCCTCTGTCACTTACTGAGGCTTACACCACAACAACATGAATTCTGGAGAAGCAGCTTACTATACACTCTGAGCCCCTAATCTATAAACCATAAAGGCATTAGCTACAGCACTATTTGGCACACATGAGACAGCTGTGCCTCAATAAAAATTTTATTGTAAATCATGAAAACTGGAAAAAAAAATGAAGGGGAAAAGTGGACATCATTGTGTCCTGGGCACACACAGGGAGCACCTAGATAGGAGACAAAGGTAAACATGTTTGGGACACACACCACAGCCTCACATTTGAGTTGCAAACGCAGGCAAAAAAAATAAAAAAACCCAAACAAAAGACAAACAACCCTCATGCTCAATTTCACGTGGTGGCAAGTCACACACAGGCTGTGTAACAGTAACCTCAATTCAGGGTAAAGACCTGCCTTCAGACACTGTCTCATCAAATCAAACGTGCATTGATTTATGGAAAAATCCTGTTTCAGAGAAAGTGTGTGTGTGTGTGTGTGTGTGTGTGTGTGTGTGTGTTCAAAGGCTCCTCAGTGTTGAGGCTGTGACCACAAACAAGAGTGCAGACCTGAGATGTAGCCTATAAGGTTTCAGGATGTTGGTGCAGCTGCTGCCTTCTATTCCTGCCACTGGGACGCAACAGTTTTAAATTTGGGGTTATTTTTAGGGGGATTTTCCAGCAGAAAATGGCTATATTTAATTATATATATTTTAAATCAAAAGGCAGATATTGCTTGAGTAATTGTGTATGTGAAAGATGCGTTTACGGGTGCAAACAGAGAAAGGGAATTATGGGGAAGAGAATAAAATCCCTTTCGTGTTCACTGCCAACAAAGTTTAAACAACTAACACACGTACAGTGGTTCGCGGGTGGAAATTTGAAACACACAATTACACACAGACAAAAAAAATGTGCTCGGGCTCGGAGGGGGGAGGAAGAGGAAAAAACTGTTGCAAATTTCGGAACCAACAATAGCCGCTTACCTGCGCACAAAGTTCCCAGAAGAAGTGAACAAGTCAGCCATGAAAAAGACATGTTCCGTTTTAAATACAGGACAGATATTTCCCCGGCTTTCCGTCGCGAACATTAAAACTCAGCTTGTCCGAAACATCAGTCCAAGGATCAAAACGACCACAGGCCTCCGGTCCCTCCAGCAGCCTAACCACCACCACCACCACCACCACCACAGCGCGTGTCAATAGCCGCGACGCCGCAACAATGTTGCAAGAAAAGATAGGAGCGATTAACTGACTGCCAGACTGCTCAGCCCGCTCATATGTGCAGCATTTCGCGTCGGAAGTGGATCCAAAAACCGACTGGGAAGCCGCTAAACCATCCAAGACGAAAGCCCAGCGCTCTTTTTGAGGTTATTCACTTGAATAGTAGCACCGCTGCATCGGGAGGTCGGTCGGGGTTTACATGCATGTTACTGATCTGTGTCCAAAATGGCTTCTAAATGGGGAATGGGCTGCAAACAGGGAAACCCGGATGTGTAAACACAAAGAGGGGAATTCAGGCAGCCACCGTGTGACCTTAACACGACACCGTAGATACACGCCTGAAATGACTTTATTTTTGCCTCATGTCGATAATTATCACGTTTTTTAATCATAGAAAAGCCCACGGGAAGGAAAAGGAGGCGTTGGTGGAGGATGTGTGCTTTCCACGTTGGTATTTGTCCCGCTTCCAGCTGATACAACACTTGCACTTTCTGTGGTCAGAGTTGGTATTTTATAGTCTACTTTTCGCTTGTTACTATTTAGCACCGGGTTTAAATGAAAATTTAAGGTAATACCCGGTGATTTTACTGATTATACGTCGAATATATGTCAAAATTTTACCCCCTTCTAAAAAATAACGTGATTTATGTTGCAGTATTTCAACTGCATATGAAAAGCAACATCTCCAGATAAACTAAGGCAGGCTACACACTCTCTATATATTTAATTTACAATATACAAACACAATAAGCCGTTACAGACAAATTCAAAATATAAATGTATCAACTCCTACATTATGTATCCTACAAAATATATATGTATTATATTGCTATATTTTTGTCTGTTTCAGTATCTCACAAATAGTGTGAAAAATTCTGTTTTTCTCCTTTTATGCATAAGTACACACTCTCTATATATTTAATATACAATTTACAAACACAATTAGCCATTACTTACAAATTCAAAATATAATTTTATCAACTCCTACATTATGTGTCCTACAAAATGTATTATATGGCTGTATTTTTGTCTGTTTCAGTATCTCACAAATAGTGTGATAAATTCATTTTTTTTCCTTTTATGCATAAGTACATACTCTCTATATATTTAATATACAATATACAAACACAATTAGCCACTTCTGTCAAATTCAACATATAACTGTATCAACTCCTACATTATGTATCCTACAAAATATAGTATGTATTATCTCACAAATATTGTGATAAATTCTGTTTTTTTTCTCCCTATCTGAATGATCTTTTAATCATAAGTACACGCTCTCTATATATTTAATGTACAATATATAAACACAATTAGCCACTTCTGTCAAATTCAACATATACATTTATCAACTCCTACATTATTTATCCTACAAAATGTAGCACATATTATATTACCATTTTTGTCTGTTTCAATATCTCACAAATAGTGTGATAAATTCTGTTAAATTCCTGTCTGAATGATTTTTTATGCATACAGTACAGGCCAAAAGTTTGGACACACCTTCTCATTCAATGCGTTTTCTTTATTTTCATGACTATTTACATTGTAGATTCTCACTGAAGGCATCAAAACTATGAATGAACACATGTGGAGTTATGTACTTAACAAAAAAAGGTGAAATAACTGAAAACATGTTTTATATTCTAGTTTCTTCAAAATAGCCACCCTTTGCTCTGATTACTGCTTTGCACACTCTTGGCATTCTCTCCATGAGCTTCAAGAGGTAGTCACCTGAAATGGTTTCCACTTCACAGGTGTGTCTTATCAGGGTTAATTAGTGGAATTTCTTGCTTTATCAATGGGGTTGGGACCATCAGTTGTGTTGTGCAGAAGTCAGGTTAATACACAGCCGACAGCCCTATTGGACAACTGTTAAAATTCATATTATGGCAAGAACCAATCAGCTAACTAAAGAAAAACTAGTGGCCATCATTACTTTAAGAAATGAAGGTCAGTCTGGAAAATTGCAAAAACTTTAAATGTGTCCCCAAGTGGAGTCGCAAAAACCATCAAGCGCTACAACGAAACTGGCACACATGAGGACCGACCCAGGAAAGGAAGACCAAGAGTCACCTCTGCTTCTGAGGATAAGTTCATCCGAGTCACCAGCCTCAGAAATGGCAAGTTAACAGCAGCTCAGATCAGAGACCAGATGAATGCCACACAGAGTTCTAGCAGCAGACCCATCTCTAGAACAACTGTTAAGAGGAGACTGCGCCAATCAGGCCTTCATGGTCAAATAGCTGCTAGGAAACCACTGCTAAGGAGAGGCAACAAGCAGAAGAGATTTGTTTGGGCCAAGAAACACAAGGAATGGACATTAGACCAGTGGAAATCTGTGCTTTGGTCTGATGAGTCCAAATTTGAGATCTTTGGTTCCAACCGCCGTGTCTTTGTGAGACGCAGAAAAGGTGAACGGATGGATTCCACATGCCTGGTTCCCACTGTGAAGCATGGAGGAGGAGGTGTGATGGTGTGGGGGTGTTTTGCTGGTGACACTGTTGGGGATTTATTCAAAATTGAAGGCACACTGAACCAGCATGGCTACCACAGCATCCTGCAGCGACATGCCATCCCATCCGGTTTGCGTTTAGTTGGACGATCATTTATTTTTCAACAGGACAATGACCCCAAACACACCTCCAGGCTGTGTAAGGGCTATTTGACCAAGAAGGAGAGTGATGGAGTGCTGCGGCAGATGACCTGGCCTCCACAGTCACCGGACCTGAACCCAATCGAGATGGTTTGGGGTGAGCTGGACCGCAGAGTGAAGGCAAAGGGGCCAACAAGTGCTAAACACCTCTGGGAACTCCTTCAAGACTGTTGGAAAACCATTTCAGGTGACTACCTCTTGAAGCTCATGGAGAGAATGCCAAGAGTGTGCAAAGCAGTAATCAGAGCAAAGGGTGGCTATTTTGAAGAAACTAGAATATGAAACATGTTTTCAGTTATTTCACCTTTTTTTGTTAAGTACATAACTCCACATGTGTTCATTCATAGTTTTGATGCCTTCAGTGAGAATCTACAATGTAAATAGTCATGAAAATAAAGAAAACGCATTGAATGAGAAGGTGTGTCCAAACTTTTGGCCTGTACTGTACGTACACACTCTCTATGTATTTAATTTACAATATACAAACACAGTGAGCCAGCTCTGTCAAATTCAACATATAAATGTATCAACTCCTACATTATGTATCCTACAAAATATAGTTTGTATTATCTCACAAAGTGTTATAAATTCTGTTTTTTCCCCATCTAAAGGATCTTTTATGCATAAGTACACACTCTCTGCATATTTAATTTACAATATACAAACACTTTTAGTAAGGATAGACCGATACATCGGCCGGCCGATATATCGGGCAGATATTTGAGTTTTTTACTTGTATCGGCATCGGCCGATACACTCGTGGGTTCGCGGATTTATTTTTCCCTGGCACTTTTTTTCATTTGAAAGTATGTGGTTAAGTTGAACAAAGCTGTTGAATCCTACTGTGTACAGTAGTTGTTGTTTTATTTATGCTTCAGCTTAAATATTTGTTTATTTTATAAAGACATTACTGGAAGATTTAAGAGCACTGAACTCTTTTTTTTATTTGAATGTATAATAATAATAATAGTATTCTACCTGTTCTACCTCAACTTTCCATCTTGTTTTAGTATTTTTTACTGTTCAATAAATGTTTCTTATTTTAAACTTGAGACCTGTAATATTTGTTGTCATTGTGTCATTTTTTTTGATGTAAATTGAGGGAGCAAAAGCAGTATCGGCCCCAAATATCGGCTCAAGAAAATCGGCAGTCCATAATCGGGCATCGGCTAAGGGTGATGGAAAAAAATCGGTATCGGCATCGGCCCTAAAAAAATCCAGATCGGTCTATCCCTAACTTTTAGCCACTTCTGTCAAATTCAACATAAATATACAACTCCTACATTATGTATCCTTCACAATATAGTATGTATTATCTCTCAGAAAGTGTGATAAATTCTGTTTTTTCCCTATCTGAATGGTCTTTCATGCATAAGTACACACTCTATATATTTAATTTACAATATACAAACACAATTAGCCTGTACTGACAAATTCAAAATATAAAATCAACTCCTACATTATGTATCCTACAAAACACAGCATGTATTATATGGCTTTATTTTTGTCTGTTTCAGTATCTTACAAATAGTGATAACTTCTGTTAAATTCCTGTCTGGATTATCTGTTATGCATAAGTACACACTCTCTATATATTTAATGTATAATATACAAACACAAGTAGCCTGTACTGACAAATTCAAAATATAAAATCAACTCCTACATTATGTATCCTACAAAATATAGCATGTATTATACTGCTGTATTTTTGTCTGTTTCAATATCTCACAAACAGTGTTATCTTTCCTATCTGAATGATCTTTTATGCATAAGTAGCAGTGCTAAAAATAGCTGACCTAATTTGGAGTAACAGGATACAATAAATGCTATTTAAAATGTATTCCCTCTAATTACTCATTTCACTGCCAGACAGAGTTAAATATAAAATACATCTCACACAGCAAAACTACAATAGAGCCAAAGCATTGCTCACAATGAACTGCCAAGCATTTTTATTTGTATTATTATCACAAAACAGGAAGTGTGTGACCACAAAAAAAAATCCCCAATTTCAAAACACTATGTTCTGTTGATAAGTGCTAAATAATCTCTGGCATGACATTTAAACAAAAGGTGACAATGGATTAGTCAGCCTGCCCACTCACCCAGTCTCCCAGCCAACAGACAATCAGTTTTAGAAGTATTTCCCTCATAAAGGTTAAGGTTCAAGTCATTTTCCTCCGACTAATTGGGTACGCTTCTCTTTCGTAATCTCCCCACTTAAGAAGACAGGCGTACCTCCGTTAGAGCAAATAATCAGGGCTTATTAATGAAACAAAATGTCTATAATGATGAAATATGGCACACAGTTTCCTTGTGTAGTATTTAAGACACGCTTTTATATAAAATAAAAAATCCAGAGAGAGAATCAGCAGTGACATTGTTAAAAATGCCATTAAGCCTCGCTCACCGGTCCCTCTCTCTCGTCTTTGACATCCAGACTAATGGCATGTTAGTGACACCCAGACAATTCATGCAGCAAATGGCCCAGGAATAAGGTTAGCCATATGTAATCACCCTTAAACTAGTGCCGCTGAGTGTAACTCAAGACAAAGCATTTCCTCATTAAGCTACCCTATATTGACCCCGTAACTCGATAGAGC